TTAGTTTCCGCCAAAATTCCTTAGGCCAACTGAGTGGGAAATTATTTTTTACAAGACTCTGTATGCTATTCCCTTCATCCCCCAACTACCCACCTTTTCACCCTTCTTCATTGCTTCAGAAAGGAACAAATCCAGAGCTGTCCTCATTCTAGAAATTTGGAAAAAATGCCAGCCACTCCAGAAGAACAGAACTGTTTACAACACTGCAATTGGAAAGAGGTGACTAAAGAAAAGAGAAAATCTTTACAGAGTACTACCTGAAAACCTACACTGAGAACATCTTTTCTGGGTATTGCCACCAAAAAGACATGTTTCCCCCACTCAGAGAAACTGCAAATGTTTGAATCCGACCCAGAGACCCATCCTAGTTTAATCCTGGAACGTTATCTTGACTTGAAACTGTCTAAGTGCTCAGACCAATCTAGTAGTAAAGAGAGGGTGACTGGTGCCCGCTGATGGGAGGAGCTCCTGAGCTCAGCCCTGGAGGCCACAGGGTTCAGGGGGCCCACTCAGATCATGCCAGAGAGCAAGAGAGAGGAACTGGAGCTTGCGAGCATTGTGGCTTTGTCTGTTTCCTGTTTCAGCAAGGCCACTGTGCAAAAAGAAAGACAGCACGAAGAAGGGAAATGCTAGTGGGGCCCAGAGCCACGGATTGAGAGCTTGTGCTTTACCCAGCTGCTGTTTTGCTCCATCTGAGACCAGAGCCAAGATCTGCCCAGGAGCTGGAATGCTTTCCTGAGTGGCTTGGGTTGGAGCCTGGGACTCGGAGGTAACTGAGAAGGAGGATGCTTTTGTGTCCAGGTTTGGGACCTCCAACTTTGGGGTGGGGCAGAGCAGGGAGGCACAGGGAGCGGGTGGTGCTGTTTAAGCGTGCTGAATGTTTGGTAACCAGAAAACGTCTTGTGTTGGTTTCCTGGGGCACTAGTCACGGCACAGGGTATAGCTTCCACGGCTCCTCGGCTCAATCCAGTAGATTAGATTAGTGGTGATTCTAATGATTTAGGGTTCAGGCTACCTAGTGATAGGGGCATGAATTAAATGACCTTTTACGGTTCCCTTCAAAGCAGGGATCCCCACAACACAAAACTGCCTTTCCAGCAGCTTAGATGTAGGCCCTTCTCCCCTCAGCTCACACTGAGAGCTATGGAGCAGGAAGACCAGCCTAGGCAGGAAGTCATTTATCATCTCTGTTACACATACATGGTCAGGAAGTAGGAGCCGAGACTTGGATAGGCAGTGACAAGCCACAGTCAGGTGAAAGGCAGTGCCCTGATCTTCCTCTGTGGCCATGAGGAAAGTCTCCCCAACCAGCAGCACCTCTTCCTCCAAGCTCCAACTGAGCCCTGTCATGCTGCCAGGGGCACCCCAGAAATTCCATAAAGCCTGAACAGTGGCCCAGTGATCTTTCTTTGAACCCTACAGAGACCAGTTCCCTTTTCTTCCATAACCCATCCCTGTCAGTCAGCCATTCCACATGGCTTCTTGTTTTTAAACAGGTCAGTGCGGTCATGACATCCTAGAAACCTAGGTACAGTTCCACCCAGCTGTGCTGTACCAAATCCTAGTGGGTATGGTAGCCTGAGGATCTGGGAACACTCCCCTCTCTAAGGAGCTATTGCTACTGCTCCCCTCTTGAGTAAGAAGTCCCAGTGTCTGCACCTGAGGAAGCAGAGAGCACAGCAGCCATGTGTCTCCGTGGACTAAGGGTGGATGGCCTGGGAGAGAGCCCAAAGAGACCTCATATCAGGCCCCATCTTCTTCCCCATAGCCATTTCCTCTTCACAGCAAGATGGTAGGAAGGTGTCTAAATGATCAAGGATCTGCCTCTATTACAGAGCCTGCAAGTAACCTGGAGCCAAACAGGGAGGGAACCTCAGACCTTACGTTTTAATGGTGCAGTGCACAAAGGCTCCGCCTCTTCGTTGCCTTTCTGCTTGGTGAAGAAATTGGAACAGTGACTGTGTCTAGACCAAGGAGAAGTCTTTTCTCCTTATAGCCCAAACCCAGAGGTCAGATGAATGAGAGCAGTAAATGTGATTTCAACCTGGGATCAGTATCTTGTTAATCTGGTACATAATATACTTCAAAGAGAGAGAAGGTTGAAAGGGTGAGATAAGGCATTCTTGGTTCTAGGAGTACTAGTTTAGCTTAAGGCCTTTGTCTTACAGCACCAAGTCTTTAATTTCCAACATCAGTATGACAAGGATAATAATAATATTTTATGTTTTTTATTTTTATTTTATTTTTATTATTTTTTTGAATTGGAGTCTCACTCCATCTCCCAGGCTGAAGGGCAGTGGCACACTCACGGCCACCCCAGTGTCAACCTGCTGGTCTCCGGCAATCCTTCCGCCTCAGCCTTCCAAGTAACCGGAACTACAGGCGTGCACTACCATGCCCAGCTAATTTTTTATTTTTATTTTTTGTAGAGACAAGGTCTTGCCAAGTTGCCCGGGCTAGTTTTGAACACTCGGGCTCAGGCAATCCACTCGCCTCGGCCTCCCAAAGTGCTGGGCTTACAGGCTGAGCCACCAATCCCAGTCTAAGTTTTTTTTATTATAAAAGGCTAACATTTATTGTGTGCTATGTGCCAGGTGCATAGTGTGCACTTTGTAGGTTCTGGCCCCATTTTATAAATGAGGAAACTGGGGCTTAAAGATGTTTACTACCTTATCCAAAAATACATGCCATTGTATGAGTTCACACAGAGCTGACCCCAGAGCCATGGTATTAGTCCACACAGTCTGACCCCAGAGCCAGGGCTCTCCTCTGCTAGCTATGTCAGAATAGCCAAGGGTTATGACTTCGGGATGCCACAGTGTAGGTTCTAGACATGGACTTCTAGACATAGACATGGCACCTGATCGCACGTCTCCATCATTCTGTCATTTATAACTTAACACAGATGGATCTCTCAGAGCCTTCCCCAAGTTTTTAAGTAAAGAAAGTGGCAGCCAGGCTTGGTGGCTCAGCCTGTAATCCCAGCACTTTGGGAGGCTGAGGTGAGTGGATTGCCTGAGCCCGCGGGTTCGAGACCCGCCTGGGCA